GGACTTTGCTGTCTGTGTCTCCCAGCAGATGTCTGGGTAGTTTAGGTCCCCCATGACTACCGCCTCCTTAGCTTTTATGGTCTCCGAGAACTGCCTCAGGAGCCCCAAATCTAGTTCTTCCCCTTGGTGTGGGGGTCTGTAGCAGACCCCTACCACCAAATCCCTTTCTCCTTGACCTCCATGTAACCTAACCCACAATCCTTCTACTTTCTCCTCCTCCAATTCCGTTTTGATAAGTGTCGATGTATATCGCTTATTGACATAGAGCGCAACCCCTCCCCCTTTCTTCCCCACCCTGTCCTTTCTGTACAGCTTATACCCCTCAATGTGTACTGCCCAGTTGTGGGAAGAATCCCACCAGGTTTCTGTTAGCCCTACTAAGTCCTAGGTGTTTTCTGCAAGCAGGAGTGCTAGTTCATCCTGCTTGCTCCCTATGCTCCTAGCATTGGTGTATAGAGGGAGGGAAACCATTGGTTGACTCCTTTTCAAGGGAAGGATGGTTGCCAAAATTCAGCCTAGCTTGTGGACAGGGTCCTTCCCCTATAATTAGTGAAGCTAGTGATGGAGAAGGGCTTTAGGTCACCTGGCTCATCTCATCCCCCCTACCCATGATGGGGCAGTGAAGGATTGTTCTCCAGGGCTTTGGCTTTTACTAAATGTCTCAAACAATGAAGCTGCCAGGGGACTTTGCCGGAGATTTTGTGCTTCCCTGTAGTAGCTTTGTTCTACCTCTCAGATCCTCTATGTCTGACATTTTCCTCTTTTCATGTGGGAAGCAATGATACTTCAGCTTAAAACCTTATGCCATTAAAGGGAAAAATGGGAACTGAAGGCAGCACCAGGTTATTTTGCACTTGCTTCTACATGCTGTGCCCTGAAAGCGTGTCCTGAAACAATTTAACCAGTCTCCTTAGCCCCAAAGTGCTTGGCATGCTGGGAGAGTTCCTCTGTCCCTCCCAAGAGGAGCCCTTATAAATGGTGTTTCATGTAAGCACAGGGTCCTCACTGACAAATGCATCTCAGCAGCTTCATCTTCACTTTCCACCTGTGAGGCACTTGGGAAGCAGAAAATCAGGTTGAGATGTGAAGGAGACATAATGGTCTGTTAGGAGACAGGCTGCAGAGGACAGCCAAGGCTGCCCAGTGTGAGCATCTCATTCCTACATAGATACCAGTCAGACAAGAGATACAAAACGGAAGTGGGGTGTAGAAGGCCCACTCTGGGCAGTGCTAGGGAGGGTTAGATATGGCAAGCTCAGTCATGCCGAGTAATCAGGAGCATGGGCAGAAACCATTTTGTCGTGATGCTTTTCCCCCTGAGTGAGGGCATATTGAGGCAGCAGGAGGTGGTTTAATGTGGCACTCGTGCCATTTGAGGGGGCTGATGGCATGGGCATTCTTCAGGAGAGCCAGTGTGGCATTCGTTCCTCAGCTCTGATAACTCTGTGGCTTGATTCCCACTGCCTTCGCACTGGGCTAGCTTGCTTCCCTGCTGCTCCCTGCCTGGGCCCTGGAGGACAGTGAAGTAGGGATTAACTTCAAGTGTTCTGAACATCGGACCAGGTTGCTGCCAGGCCTTGGCCCCCCAGCATCACGAGTGCAGAAAATCCCCCAGTCCTCCAATAACCTGTGTTAATGCTTTTTCTGTCTGTATCCCTGCAGGTGGGTCTCCCTGAGGACATGGTGAAGCGCTGTGTGCAGCAGCTGGGCCTGGCCCTGGACTACATGCACAGCAAGAATCTGGTGCACCGGGACATTAAGCCTGAGAATGTGCTGCTCTTTGACCGTGACTGCCGCCGGGTCAAGCTAGCTGACTTTGGCATGACACGCAAGGTGGGCTGCCGGGTGAAGCGCATCAGTGGCACCATCCCCTACACAGCGCCCGAGGTCTGCCAGGCCGGCCGGGCTGAGGGCTTCACTGTGGACATGAGCATTGATGTGTGGGCCTTTGGCGTGCTCATCTTTTGTGTCCTGACTGGCAACTTTCCCTGGGAGGCAGCCTCCGCCACGGACACTTTCTTTGAGGAGTTTGTGCGGTGGCAAAAGGGGCGTCTGGCCGGCCTGCCCTCCCAGTGGAGGCGCTTCACAGACAATGCCTTGCGCATGTTCCAACGCCTCCTGGCCCTGGACCCCGAGAAACGCTGCCCTGTCAAGGAGGTCTTCTACTTCATCAAATATGACCTGATGTCAGAGGTGCGCCGCAGGCCCTCCTACCGCTCCCGCAAACATGCTGGTGACAAGCTCTCATCTGGCTCTCACCGCCACGAGACACCCAGCTCCTGTACCCCCACCCCACTCAAGAGGACCATCCTGACGGAAGGCAGTGGCCCTCGGCTCTCCACCTCAGAGCCAGGCCTGTCCTCCCCAGGGGGAACAGGGAGGACAGATGGGCGGCAAGACAAAGGCAAAGGGCAGATGGTCCTGGCCACAGCAATAGAGATTTGCGGGGGGGGGGTCACAGTCCTCATGGCATGGCTCTGCTCTGTACAGCCTGCAAACATGATGTCAGTCCCACTGCCTCCCACCCTCTGGCAAAGAGGGATGGGGGAGGGAATTCCTTTTATATTAGGGACCAGGATCCATGTCTCCCAAAGCAAAAAAACAAAAAAAAACCTGACAATAACTTAATAATACTAAGGATGCTACATATATCCATCCACTGTAGGTAAGGCCAGAGTGTAGACTTGGACACTGGGGGCTGGGAGCCCAACAGAGGGGGCGTGGACTGGCTGCCAGGAAGGACCATGAACAGCCTGGTGGCTCAGAGCTCCCTCCTCCTCATGCCATCCGCAACTAAAATGGGGGCTACTTCCCTGCGTTCTCCACACCACACGTGCCCTTCCTCTGCTGGGCTGACAGAGCACGGGAGAGCCAACAGAGTCCTACTGTTTCTGGGGTTGCGTGGGACCTTTCACCAAAACAATAATCAAAATGAGAACAGGGGGAGAACAAGAGGGTGGGACAGAAGTGGGAGGGAGGGAAACGGCATTGGGTCTTGGGCGTGTGGTCTGGCATCATCGTGCAGGCAGCTGGGGCTTATAGTGGGTGGGGAGCAGAGTGGGGTGGGGCTGCAGCAAACCTGGGATTCTTTAGGTTGCCAAGGACACCTGTCATGGTCAGGGCTTGATACGCAAATTGGGCATTCTCCCTGCCCTGTAAATCGTGTACTGACCATGGTTAGAAATCTGGGCTCAGGTCAGGGCTTAACTACAGACTTGGCACACAGGGAATGAGGGCAGCTTGGCATCCCACACCTGCCCTCACTCTTGTTGGCTCCCTTCCTGCACTGGCTCAGTCTCCAAGACCCCTGTGTGATTCCCTCATTGGGGGTGGCTAGAGAGGTGGACATGTGGGATGGGGGAAAAGAAAGCATCCCAGAAGGGAGGGAAAGCTGATGACCCCAGGACATGGGAGAGGCTTTCCAGGAGGTGGGGGTGTTTAGCAGTCTCTGTTGTTTAAGAGCTGGGCCTGGGTGTACCTCTTGCACCTACCCATGCACTCTCACTGCCATCCTGGCTCTTATTTGAGGGGGGCCATAATAGATGGCAGGAGATAAGGAGGAAGCAAATAAGCCTGGTGGATCCTGTCTGAAATGAGAAGGTGGGCGTGGTATCCAGTGAGCTGGCCCCGGCCCAGACAAGGCCTCTCCCACAGCTATTCTAGGGCTGGGCTTGGGCAGCCCCAGCTCTTGCTGCTCCCCTCCCTGCCAAGGGATTCTGGGATATCTTCCTGCTGCACAGGGCTCTGCTCTGCACCTATGGGGGAAGCACTCAGTGCCCACCAATGTAGCAAGTGTCGTGTTCCTATGTGTCTGTGTGCACTGGGTCTGTTGTGCCCAGCTGGCATGTCGCCAGCACCCTACAGGGGAGCATCCTTTGTCTCAAGCCCCTGTGGGCAACTTGGGAACCAGGCCCCAATTTGGGGAACAGGTCAAGGCAGACAAAGGCTGATACCTTGTAAGGGACACTGATATGAACCTGTCCTATCTTCACTGGAGGGACATGGGCAGCTGGGGAGCCGCCGCTTCAGTATGTTCCTTGATGGCTGTAGTGGTAAGACATTTTATTGGTGATCAGTGCCAGGCCATCTCTATTTAGAGTGGATGCACCACAGGGGCGGGCAAAATGCGGCCTGTGGGCCAGATGTGACCTGCCAAGCTATTCTATCCAGCCCGCAGGGCCCCTAAAATTTTTAGAAAATTAATATTTATCTGCCCTGGGCTGCCTGTCATGCGGCCCTTGATGGTTTGCCAAAACTCAGTAAGCAGCCCTCCACCCAAAATAATTGCCCACCCTGATGTATCAGGATAAGGGGTGGTTACAGACCCTGATGAAGGTTTGGCCTTACACTAGCTTCCTGGGCTAGAAGACCCTTGCTGGTTTTGAGGGGACTGCCCCTCTGGAAGAGGTGAACCCAAGTGGTTCCGTAAATGACATCAGACCAGAGCAAGCCATCTTGGTGGGGTTCCCACAGCAATCCATAGGCATTGGCATGGGGGTTAGTACAGCCAAACTTGCCTGCATGGGATCCTCAAATGGACCAATGTCGAATTTGCAAAAAAAATTGCATAAACATTTCAGGCTGGGCTGCATATATCTGCATACCCAGTGACTGTAAACCAAGCTACTTGTCATTTCTGCCTTCAGGCCTGCTTTGGCAGCTTCTGAAGAACCTTGGAGAGGACAGCTCAAGCATCTCCAGAGGTCCCTGGTCCTCCAACCATCCCCCACCTCTCTGTCTTTGCTGTTACCCTTCCTACCCCAAGTACCCTCTTGCCCCTCTTAGTCATCCCTTTGATAATATACTCTTTACATAAGGACTAGATGAGGGTAGGGGGGACCCATACTCCCTCAACCTTCTGGCACCGTAGCACTCTAAGGAGGCAGACCTCTCCCCAACCCTAGTGTATGGAGGGAAAACTAATAAGCATCTTGCTGGTTGCCATGACAAACTGGAGGCAGTAGAACAGTAAAGGGTGATGGGAAAGAGCAGGAAGCCAGTGGCTCTGGCAGGTGTGGTGGGATCCATGCACAGATGAGCTTTGGGTGACACATAGCAGAGGCCAGGGCTAGGAAAGGGGACATATAAGGCTGGATGGGGCTGCAGGGAGATAACTGCAAAGCAGGAGGCTGTGCTGGGTGAGCACTGCTGCTCTGGGGCACTTCAGCTTGATCCAACCACATGAAGCCACTAGGCAGCTTCTGGCCCAGGTCTGGCTGCCCTTCCAGCTCTGTGGTGGGGCCCAGCACAGCACTGTCTGCTGCAATTGCCTCACATAATAGGGATTCTGCTTGGAAGCCCTGCCCATGCGCATAGAAGCTTCAGGGAGAAGCTATCAGTTAGGGATGTGGGCATATCTAGATCAGTAGCTGTAGGTATTTGGGTAACCAAAATTGGAAACAGGGTGTGAAAGCAACCCCCTGAGATAGTCACTTTGCTTTCATAGGGTTAACAGCCCTGGGTGTGTACAGGCCCCTTATTCCCCTACCATGAGAGAGAAGGTGAGAACTGTGCTCCCTGCCTTGCTCTCAGCCCATATGTTTACATACAGCCCTGCTGCTGCTTCGCTGCTACTTGCATGGCTGCAAAGGGATGGTGGTTCCATCTGGCTCCTTGGTAATGGCAAAGCCCCAGTGGAGATTGTCCTTATGGAGTTTATCAGTGGAGTAGCTTCACACCTGTGTAGGCAAGTGTGTACATGTGTTAGACATGCAATGGACATATGGGAGTGAGATGTGTAAGGCTTGTGCCATCACTCATGCACATGTGGGCATCTGTGTGTGAGCTCCCAAATCTTGAATCTGAGGCCAGAGTGACCTCTATTTGGATGAGCAGATGAAGGGCAATCCTCAGAGGTGACCCGAGTAGGGTGCAGGGCCTGGGGCAAATCAGCCTGTGCGGGGCCCCGCCCCCAGATGCGAGGAAGGTGGCGGCTGATTCGGTGGGGGGAGGGTCAAGCAGCCGGAGGTGCCAGATTCGGCAGTGGATTTGGCAGGGGGAGGGATGCCGAGAGGTTGGACGTGAAGCAGGCAGCAGCCCAGTGTTGCCACGCCGCTCTGCCTGGCTCCACAGGACCCCCCAAAGCGCAGGGCCCGGAGTGGTTGCCCCGATTCGCCCCTCCAAGGGATGGCCTTAGCAATCCCCATGGAACCTGCCTGGATAATGGGGCGAGGGGAGTGTTGCTGTGGCTATGCTCAAAGAGGGACATCCAGCACTGGAGGTGGATTGGACAGATGTGTGCTTGTGCTGTAGATCTGGGAAAGGCCTGTGGGAGTGAGAGCTGTTCATTGGGATGTGCCTGTGCAGGGAAGCCAGCCCTTCCCGTGTCTTTCAGGAGCATTATCTGCCTGTGTGTGGGGCTCTGGCTTTCCCTGGGAATAGTTCATGCAGGGAGTTGCCACTCCAGACTGCTGTCTCCCAACTCCTTCCCTGACCTGAGGCTTCAGAGGGGCAGGGTGCTAAACTCTTTCCTTGCTCACTACCCTAATCAGGCACATGCACCAAAGGGATCCTGTTGGATCAGGGACTAAAAATCGAGGCCAGGCAAGTAAGTTCAGTCACCTCTGTGACCGTTACTGATCTGACATGTTCCTTCGTCCTTCCCTCTGCCCTACACTGCAGGATTTGCCTTCATGGCGACTTTTCCTCAGGGGGTTGATGCTCTGAGGTAAGCCACCGGGTTGGTTTAACTTGGGTGTAAGTTGCCAGACTTGAGTGTGTCTACTTGAGTGGGTCCATACTAGTGCTGCACTGCTCCCTGCATGTCATCAGGACCTCTGGGGGCCTGTCCCATTGTTCTTATATCTGCCAGGAGTTGAGCCACTTCTAGGCGTGAGTTGGGGAAGAACTTGGTCTCTCTGGGGCTGGGAAACTGTGGAAATGTGCCAGAGGACCCTTCATGTTGGCATCTTCATAATATAGTATAGGTTTAAACACATTAGGCTTTAGCTCAGACAGCGGTATAATATTAGGGTCACAAATCTTGTGTGTGGACAGGAGTCACTCAGAGTGAGGGCCTGGGCTAACTCTGCAGTAAAGAGAAGTCCTCTCTGTACAACTGGCTCTGCATGTCCCTAGTGGCTTGTGATGTGGGTACTGAGTGTCCTTCCACCTGTCCTAGCTCTGTCAGGGTCAGCCCCACCAGCACTGCTGGCTGTGGGTTGCCCTAATGAGGACTTGATTGGCTTAAGGCTATGCTCAGCCTGTCCACAGCAGCCTGTGTTCCCTCAAGAGCTGTAGAGATGACTACTGCAAGGGAGTGGATTGAAGCAGCTCAGAGTAGGCTAACTTAGTCGCTGCATAGGTGGGGGCCCCCACCATCCCCACCTCCCTCTGATCTGGACTCTGGGCACAGTGTCTCCCTCCTGGACTCTGAAACTTACCATACAAAGGGCTATAATGCTACTAAGAAGCAACAGCAGTTTACAAACAGATGCAGGGCAGGCGACTGGCCACGGTCCAAACCCCACACCCAGTACGCGGGGGCATGCCCAGCAGCCTTTTCCAGTGGATCCTAGTGGAAAGCAAGGGTGCATCTCTTGTATAACCATCACTAATCATAGCACACACTCAGCCCCAGCCTCCGTCCCCCAGCCTGCTGAAACATTAGTAGCGACTGTCAATGACCTCTGGGTATGGGATCCAAGAGGACCTGGTATGACTGACCGTTGCTTTGTCCCTGGTTGGACTGATCCAACCAAATGAATATCTGTCCCTGGTGAGAAAGGAACAGCATCCAAGAAGCTCCTCTCCTACCCTTCAGACTAGCATCTGCTGACCACCATATCTCTGACCTCTTTGGTGTCACTGGCCCCAGCAGTTCCTCCTTCCCTCCCTCCCTCCCTAATGTGATCGCCCCACCCCATCTCCACAGTCCACGTCTGGGTGTTTTAGGTGAATGGAAGTCATTCACCTCTCTTGGTGTCGCCCCACTGTGCTCTGGGGTATCCAGGGCTAATGGTTTTTTTAGAGGTAGCATTGCACAGACTTAGATATTTTAGCCGCAATTTCTCCTTTTTGCCTTAGGCCCCTCAATGTCCTCGATCTTTCGTGCAATAATGTAGATAAGGAATTAAAACCACCACATAGACCTTTTTAATTTTTCTGGTCAGTTATTTTGTTTTCAGGGGTGTGTGTGTGTGTGATATTTTTCCATTGAGGTTGTTGTTGTTGTTAGGCTGTTGGGGTTTTTTTTTAATTCCCTCGGCTGTCGGGTTTCAGACCTTTTCCCTGTAGGAGAGGTTATAGTGTTACAGATGTTACCTCAGTTTCTGTCACTGTTGAAAAGAAAAAAACCCCCATTAAAATGACAAAAAAACAACAAAAATATATAAAAGCAAAAAATCTTGATGGCAGTAGAGCCTTTTTTTAAAAAAAATAAAAAGTGATTTCCTGTTGTGACAATGCAGTGGTGCTTCCCCCGGGAGTGTTGTGTTTGTTCTCTCCTATTCAGAGGAAAACTTTCCTCTAGCAAAAAAAGAAATAATCAGCTTTCCACAAGGTCTGGCTTTTGCTTTCAGAACCTGCTGATCCCTTGGGCTGGTTGAAAGGCCAGGACCTGAATTTATTTGTCTTTTGCAAACATTTTATTTTTCCAGGCAAATGTGAAATGTCAACCAAAAATGTGTCATCTCTTGGCCAGTTCCGATAACCTCACTTTGTTGCATCATTCAAAGAACATGGTAACGTATGAACATGTTGCACACAACAGACACTTACTACTTCTAAACGTGCACATTACTAGGGAAGCTGGTTTAGGTCCCAGATCCTTCTGGGGCAGTGGCACCCAGGCTTTCTTCACTTGAGCTGAAGAAGATTATTCTCATCTGCCAGTAGCAGGTAGTCCCATATCTCCTTAGTGGCCTTGCTGCAGCTCTCTCTTCACAAAGCCAGTGCAATATAGAGGAGGATTGCTGATGTGACGGCTGTGAGGCAGCTGTGAGGGACTCCAGGTGGGGACTAGCACATGGCCTCCCATGACTCAGTGCAAAAAAACAGGAGTTTGCTCTGTTTTTTTGTTGAGGTGAAAGGTTGGCTGTCATAACTGAGGCAACTGAGCCAGAAGAAACCTGTAAAGGGCAAATAGCCAAATGATCCAGATTGGCCATCCAGCTGTAGGGCTCTCCTGACCAACTTTCTGCTCAGATTCTCAGCCCTCCTCAAAATACCCTGGCAGGCTTTCCCCTTGGTTCTTTTGCTCCTTTCCAGCCAGACCTCCAGTAGGTGAGACCTGGCTCACATGACTGCTAAGGTCACAGAGTGATGCATGGCCCACCTCTCCCAGTGCCCTGCCTGATGAAGTCTCAGCTGCTTCAGTGTAAGGTGTTGGTCCCCTCCACTGCAACACCCCTGGCAGGGCAATCCTGTCTCTTGGGATAGGCCCACCTTGACACCAACTAACGCCACAAGGTATAAGGCCTGGGATCCCACTGTTGAAAAGGGTTTGCAGGGAGATAGCAGTTTCCCAGAAAATCATTCTGCCAAGCCAGCACACTTTGTCCTGCCTTGGTAATGGTGACCAAGCAAATGCCCTATTACCCCCTTCCTGACCTGTGGTACAGCCTTTAATACGGTGCTATAACAACACGCAGGAGGCCTTGGCTTCCACCCTAAACAACACCATGGTGATGAGTGACTCTCCTCCTGATCCTTTCGGCAGTTCTGTCCA